GGAGCAAAAGTGGTTTTGCAGTAGGCAAACTGTATGCTAGGAGTTGTAGGTGTGGAAAGGAGCTGAGAGAAAGAGGAAACGGAGGGAGCAGCCAGGCTTGTTTCAGCCTGGAGATTAGTTTCAGTGCCAGTGCCTACACAGAATAAAGGAGCTTTATCTGTTGATGGTGTTTGGTTTCTGGATTTCTTTTTTTTTTCAGTGTAGCAGTAAGTCTGCTCAATAAAGGGCCAGATTTTCCACTATGCAAACTAGGTATTGTCCAGAGCAGTGCATTTCCTTCTGCTGCCTAAACCGCTATATTCCTTGTAATCCTGACACATCTGAGTCGGGAAAGCACAATCCACCACCTCCCTGATGCCCTAGGCCTAGGACATCCACCAGAGCCTCCTGAATCTTGCATGTTTATACTCAGAATATCAAATATCCAAATCAAGTTGCCATTTAAACATAATTCCCCTTCCCATGGGCCTGTGGTACTAGCTCAGGTACAGCAAAAAGGAAAAGAAAGGAGGGGAAAGGAACAAACAGCTTGATATTATGAGTTAAGGACAGCCAGACAACTCACTTGCGTGGAATCAGTACTATAGGGAAGAAGAAGAAGAAAAAGACAGGATGAACTTCACGATTAGGTGGCTGGGTTGGGGAAACATATTTGAGGTATCAGAAAAGAACAGCAAATTGTTAACTCACAGGCTGAAATCCAGTTGTATAGCGTAGTAAATTTATCTAGGTAAGTTAAAGGTTCCCCTTGACATTTAGTCCAGTCGTGTCAGACTCTAGGGCGCGGTGCTCATCTCCGTTTCCAAGCCATAGAGCCAGCACACCCATTTAGCCAGTGGGGTATGGTTAGTCAACTTTTTAGTAAGTTCCATTGATTCAAGCGGAACTACTCTAGTTGCAACTTACTATTGGATTTCACCTGTTATAGAGGTGGAGGGCACTCCAAGGGTAATGAAGTCCAACCCCCTTCTGAAGCAGGAAGCCCACAGCTAAAGAATCCTTGACAGGTGGTCATCTATTTTGTCTTTAACAACTTCCAGTGGAGAAGAATTCATTCCACTTTTGAACAGCTCTTCCTGTTAATAGTTCTCCCTAATGTTTAAGCAAAATCTCCTTTCTTGTAATTGGAATCCATTACAGTGGGGTCTTGACTTGAGAACTTAATCCGTATTGGAAGGCGGTTCTCAAGTCAAAAAGTTCTCAGGTCAAATCTGCATTTCCCATAGGAATGCATTGAAAACCATTTGATCCGTATCTGCTCTTTTCCGTCCATAGAAACTAATGGGAAGCTGCTATTCCGCCTTCGACCACTGGAGGCGGATATTTTGTTTCTTTTTTTCTTAGGTCAAGAAAGGTTCAGGGTAGGCAGGGAAAATACAGTCCAGGCAGTACAGTACCAGGCAGTCTGAAGACTGTCTCCCAATCCACTCTCTAAACACTGGGAGGAGTGAGGAAGCAGACAGGCACCCTTTTCACTGGCCAACAGTTAACTGAAAGTTCCAATTTTGCACTTTCCGTGCCTCCCACGTGGTTTTTTTTTTTTTCAGTTCTTAACTCAAATCTAAGTATGTAAGTCAAGTCAATATTTTCCTATGAGAGTGGTTCTTAAGTCAAAATGTTCTTAACTCAAGCCGTTCTTAAGTCAAGACCCCACTGTACTTTGGGTCCTACCTTGTGGGGCTGCAGATAACAGGTTTGCTGTATCCTCCACATTAGACTCTTCATAAATCTGCTATCACACCACATCTGCACAGATGTTTACTTTGTTATTGTTTTACTGTCAGGGTGTGTGTGAGATGCTTGTTGGATTTGCTGCCTCAGAAGCCAAAATAACCTGACTGGGTTTGAGTAATCTCTTGTGGTCTCAGGTGAATGGAAGGAACCACTTGCTACACTTTTGAACATCTGGCCAGTTGTTGATTCTCTGCCTAGCTAGACCCTGCTACATGTTAAGTGCTTTACTTTGTTTTTCTTTTCTGTGTAGGTCAGCTAATCTGATGACAAATATGTATTGGTGTTTTTTAAGTTTCTGTGCATATGTCCATGGATTTTAAATTTTGACATTCTCAGAAAGGGAATACAAGGAAATACAAAGCACAGTTCACCCTATAAAATCTGATATTCTAAGCACTTCTAATGATTACTATCTTTGGAGAAAAGTGCTCTGTTATTTTAATAATTGATCCATCAAGATTTTTATAGTAGTATCATTCTGAATGCCATAAATAATGTAAACCTTCTGTTATCAGCTGTTGGGTTTTCTAAAAGAGAAATGTATCTCACTTTAAGAGTAGTATATACAACATATGACTCAGATAAGGGAAATATCACTTTAATGCCAGTTTGCGTCTCAACTGTACATTGGAAGTACCAGTCATTACTGAGTCAGAGAGGTTTCTTTTTAATTACACATCCGATATGAATGGTGATTTAAGGTTGTATTATGTCATGTATGAAATAATCTGAGAACATTCCAGAAAGAGTAATTTCCATCCAAATTCCTCATCAACTTGAGGCAACAACGAATTCTACATTACTCTTACATAATAATAAGCAGTATGCAAAGACAAGAGCATTATTCATGGAATTTGCCCTTTTCTGCCATATGAAGCTTTTAACTCAATTCAGACTTAGAAATGAGAAACATGGTGCAGCATGTATATTTTATTTTTTGTACGACACCACATTATGTGCCCCTCTGACTCAGGCATAACCTGTATTTTTCTTAAAAAGCGCCATGCTGGGAACGAGCTGTGCTTCACTCTGGGGATCATAAAAACAAGTAATCCTTATGAAACCGAGATCCTGAGCCAAAATTAATCCCTGTCATTTGAGCACCTTCGGATGGTTTTGCCAGACGTCAATTTGCTCCATTTACTCTATGGTGGTCATTAAATTTTAGTGCTAGCATCAGGCAGTAATAAATCGAAAAAGCACTTTTTGAGGTGTGTGTGTTTTTTTTAATGCCACATCGTGTGATATTACTGACGCGTTCTTTTTCTCACACGCATACCATATTCTCTCTCTCCCCTCTTCCTAAATGGGGCCCTGGGTTTGTGGAGCTCAGCGTGCTTTCCAACTGGTGTCAAGCAAGGAGGTCATGAACAACAAAACAATTAGGATGAAATCATGAGCTACATTTGTAAACGAGAGAGCAGGCTGCTTGGCAGCCTGTCAGCAGAAGCAAGCTTGAGTCCGGAGGGTACAGCCCACTCTCTTCTGCTCGAGTCACTCATCTGTGTTTATATGAGTAACGGAGCGGCGGCGAGTCAGTGTGTGTGTGTGTGTGTGTGTGTGTACACACAGGGAGGAGGGGATTTGTAAGCGCCGGAGTGAATACACGGAGTACTCATTCTGCGTAAGCCTTGACAGGCACATCGAGGCTGTGGAAGGAGTACACGCGCGCACATGCGGGAGCATTCATGAGTAGAGCGCGGACCCCGGCCGATGTGGGTCGACTGGAATGGGTAATAATTTCACCCAAGCTCTCTCTTTTTTTGGTGGTGGGGCTGGGGGGGAGGAGGAAAGAGAAGGGGGCGGTTGGTTGATTGGTTTGGCGGGAGAGCCTCTGCTGACAAGCCCGGGACGGAGTTGTTTTTTTCAAAACATTTCCCTGACAGCGCTCTAGGATGGACCGGTGTGGACGCGGGGCAGTGCACAGTGAGGGAAGAAAGGTTGGAGGGAAAGATATTTTTTGGGGGGGGGGAGGGAGGAGGCAAGGAAGAGTTTTACTTTCCAACTGAGGGGAGTGGGTTCGTTTTGTTTTGGTGCTTCTCCCGCTTGGAAAACCACCACCCCCACCTTCCCCCGCCAACAGGAAACTGTTCTTTCAGAGAGCATCAGTATCAAATTATAGCAGCCTGGCATCGGAGAGCTAATTAAAATGTAAAACGTCCAGAAACCACTTGTGTGACAAATGTAAGATTAGAAACAATTAGAAGCCACTCAAGAGGGTTGCGGTGTTTAGATTTCTAGCATTATTACAGTCTTCCCTGGAAGTTATGAAAACAATGGTTACTTTCAGAAAGAGAGTTGAGAGATTTGAGGCAGGTTATCTCCTCTGTGAATTTGACCCAACTCTGGGAGGCAGTGGAAGACTGGAGGGCCTGGCGTGTTCTGGTCCATGGGGTCACGAAGACACGACTAAACAACATCATCTCCTCTATAATCACCCCTTAATGGTTGTTTATCATTTTTGATGTTGCTGAAGTCTATTGGCTGAGTAGATAGGTACTTTTCAAACTGGGCAAAACAACAGCTTGTTTTTTCCATAGATTACTCATAATCAGCACTATGACTTTTTTCTTTATTTTTCCTTTTTGGAATGTATGACTTTAAAGAAAACTAGGCTTGAGTTTTCCTTGTGTGGCTTATATACATTTATTTTCAAAAACCAAACTGAAAATAGCTTGATTTTCTATACTGTAGGATTTCTGAACTCTTTTCCTTAAGACCCTTTGAAGTGTTGCCTGAAACACATCAGTTTCAACTGTATTTGCTTCATGCTTCACATCTAGAACTCTACAATTCAGAAGTATCAGGGAGTTGTCTTGTGTGTGGATTACCTAAATGGTTTTGTCAACTTTTAGAATGTGTTCAACACAAATAGATTGAGCCTAGTCAAATATTTTACATTGTAAGAAAATTGCTAGAGGAAGGCATTTGGTCTCTTCTATGTAACAGTGTGTGTGTAATGCTCAGCAGTCTGCTGTTGTACATCTTGTTTTAGCAAGAGAGCAATTTGTGGTTTCTTGATATTCTTTCAGATGCTTGTTAGATGTAAACAGCATTAGCTTAGCTTAGTGAGTGGGAATATAATGCAGAAATATGTGACCTAGAAACAGAACAGCTCCTGGGGATAACAACCTTATTTACTGCAGGGAAGATCCATTCTGTCTTCAGAGACTTGTCTTTAAAGACTCAACGGCTGTTGGAGGACATTCAGTTCTTTTATCTGTTTGTAAGTGATTGTGCTGAAATTGTTGCCTGTTTGTTTTCAGCGCCAAATCTTAAAGGCAGACCACGTAAAAAGAAGCCATGCCCACAGAGGAGAGATTCACTCAATGGCATTAAAGATCCTAATAACAATTGTGAAAGCAGAGCTGTTGCCAAGGTAAGGCACTTAGTAATTTTCATCTAACTTTGCTGAGAAACAGTTTGCCTTTGTGTTTTCCAGCACAGTGTTTCAATGTAGAAATACTTCATATGCTAATAAATGCAGACTAATAAATACAGTTACCCGCAGTTGTTTGGATGAGGCATTTCCACATTTGTTGACTGACTTGGTATAAAGCATTCAAGGTGCCATCGGTCTGTTGATTATTAAAAGCACATTGGCAAAATAATCTTGATTTAAAGTTTTAACAGACATTTGTATATTGAATATGTTCAGTTGTCGTTTCTTCCAGTGTATATGGTTGATTCATTTATTTATTTGAATTTATACTTCTTACAAGGAGCTTTAGGCAGTGTGCCTAGTTTGCCCTTTTTTTCTCACAACAATCTTGTCAGGCAGACTAGGCTGAGAGGTAGTATCTGTCTCACGGCAGCTCAGTGAGCTCCATAGCTGCACACGGATTTGACTGTGGAGCCTAATTTGTCCTGCTAGCTTGATACCTCAAGTCCACTGTTTCACATCAAAAAAATAAATTGGTCAAAGCCTTGCTCAATTACCTTCCAGATATAATCTGAAAATAACCATGCATGAACTGTGAAGTGTCCTTTGAATTGTGGAGTCCAACAGAGACACACAACATGTCACCTGGAACAATTATAACAAAATGGTGTGTCCCCAGATGTTATTGGGCTACAACCCCAAGAATCCCTCACTTTTGGCCACCCTTGGCTGATGCTTAGAAAAATTAAAGTCCAACAACACCTTGGGGCCCAAGACTTGAACCATTACAGAGGTACTCTCTTTGCTCCAGACCAAATATTTGAAGCACATTCTCTTCTGTTCAGGTAATCCACAGGTTTCAGATTGCTAAGGACTGGTTCATGAGCACATGTTCATCCATTAATGAGACACCAAGTTACAATTTGTAAGCATGAGTAAGCAATAAGCTCCCTAGATACAATTTTCACATCACTATGTATCCCTTCAAACAGAATGCTTTTCAGAAGATGCAGCACACATAACAATTGTGTAGCTTTTCATGATAATGCAGATTGCTTGAAAAGGTAACCACTAATGTTTTCTGCTGTAGCTGCAACACATAGTACAAGCCATTATTTATTTTAGTGTTTTGTTCAGGAATGTTTCCATGTCAGCATTGGCTCCCTATCAGAAGGCAGCATCTGGCAGTTTCTGTACAAATGTTCTAATGCAGGCGTGAAAAATTTCAGTCTTGAGGCTGAGTCTAGCCACCTACCTTTAGGGTCACTGACTGGTTTTCTGGTGTCTCCATATGATCATGACCTCCTCCTCCATCGTGGCATCCCTTAGTAGTTTTCCAGCTATTATACAGATTTTCTTACCCATTCCAGAAGTTTGAAATTTCTCTGCTGAGATTTAGTTACTGCTGGTAAGAACTTCAATAATGCTGTTAGATTTTATCTCACCCATTTGCCTTTAGTCCCACCTGCCACTGGAACATGGCCTTTGAGAACTTTCTGTAGCTGTCAGACTGAAAGATGTCCCCTGTCCTTGTTCTAAATGAGCTTTCCATTTCTGGTATAAACTGTCACCTCCCCATTCAGGGGTCCAGTACAGCAGCTGCCACCGCTACTGGGCCTCTCTTAAAGTAAGGACCAGTGAAAGCATCTGATATGGTCCATAACTGGAACCACCCAGCCCTTCTTGTCTTACCTTTTCTGGTAGAAATTTTGCCTAAGAAGGAGGAGCAAGTGTATTTCTCCTTTTGCCTGCCTCTCCTTGTTGTTGTTATTGCTGCTGCTATGTGCCATCAAGTAGCTTCTGACATATAGATTAAGGTCCTTCCAGAAGGTCATTAACAAACCTGTTTGGGTCTTGCAAATTCAAGGCCTTGGTTTCCTTTATTAAGCTAATTCATCTTGTGTTATCTGTCCCTCTTTTCCTGCTGCCACTCACTCATCACTGTCCTTTCCAGTGAACCTTTTCTTATTATATGTCTGAAGTATGCTACCTTCAGTTTACTCTTTCTTGCTTCTAGAACAGGTTTAGGCTTTATTTGTTGTAGAACCTACCTATTTGTATTTCGGGAAGCCCCTGGTATCCTTAAAGTCTTTAAATGATTTTTTTTCCCTTTCAGTTTTCTTCATTGTTCTCTTGCCACATTCATGCATTTTAACTGGGAATACCACAGTATGGATTATTATTTCAGTACACTGAAGTAGCCAATGCACAGTATACAGTATTTGCAATATGATCTCTAATGACTCTTCCTTTTCTGAATCCAGCTTGAACATCTGGTATTTCTTGTTCCATATATGATACAGGTTTTTGTTGTAAAATCTTGCGCATCATCTTTCTTGCATGGGAAATTTTGATGATTCTGCAGTTATTTCCTCTTCTAGAATAGTTCCATTATTACTTATGTCAGCTTCCTAGGCAGTGCAATGTATATAATCTCTATAATACATATGTACTAATTCATACAGTTAATTCATTAACTTTTAAAATAATACTGTATGTCCCATGCTTAGCATTCTTGTGTCTCTCAGTAGTTCTTGATTGGGGGGGTGGTATTCTTTCTTACTTCCACTTCACACATTTAGTTGCAGGACTTTGAACGGGACCAACTTTTCTCACAGAGCTTGTTGTTGCAAATTATGCAGAATTCTAACAGATAAATATTTTGAGTCTTCCTTCTTCATCTTGGTGGGATAAAGGCCTGTTTGCCTGCTAATTTCCATTCAATCTTTAAAGGCATAGGAGACTTGAAAGAGAAAAACATTGGACAATCTAGATCCTAGGACATAGAGCATGTATGTTGGATAGCAGACAAGTGGTAAAATAGTTTGAAGTGGTCAGAAATATTGCCCCCCCCCAAAAAAAATTCCATGTTGTGAATATCACTTTAAGGATTATAGTTTAGAAACAGTTTCTTTTTTGTTCTTTCCCCTCCTTCAGTTTTTTCCCTTTTTTATTTGGGAGGATTGGTATAAGACTTGAAAATTAAATGTCTTCAAATGATTCAAGACTTAAGGAGGTTAAATAGCTGGGTACTATACTTTGTGATGTTGGCTGTGATTGAATTATTAGTATTGTCTCCTTGAAGTTTCAGTCATTTTCAGGTTCTGACTGAAAGTGATGGCAGAAATCAAGCTCTTAACATTAAAATAAGAAAGACTTGTCATTAATGTTATTGTTGTGGTTTTATGTAACCTGTTACATGTCCAATAGTTAGTTGTCTGTAACAAGATCTGGTGATATCATGTTATAAAGAGATGTTGGTTAAAAAACTTATCTTTGATGTTTGAAGCTTTTCTGAACTCTATAAAATGTTATAGGACTTCCTCAGATTTCTATTGTTGGGGAGTCCATAAAAGTTCAAAGAGTCTGCAGTGCAGATTCCCTACTTTTGTTGAATTTTCAAAGAACAAGTTACCATCTGCCTTCTGCAGCTCTTCCTTCATGAACTGAGCATTAAAAAAAGAAGCATCTTCTCAGTGTAATATATTTTGCATATAAAGCAACATGTTGCCAGACCATTAAAAACAACCACAACATTGCTTATTTCATTTTAGTATAGGAGTTATCTATTTGGGTATTTTCCATTCATTTATCCATCCTTGTTTCCAGAGGTAGTATTACATATATGTATGGTGGAGCAGCTACTAAGGCATCACATGGCAAGGAGGTAGACTCTCTGTGGAAAAGGGTCATTGAAAAAGGGTCATGTCCATCAGGCCTCAGGAAGCTAGAGCAGACCCTGTTTCCCTGCATCCTTGTTTCCGGCTTTATGGTAAAAAAAATATACTGGATTCTATCGCTCCCACCCACTTGAGATCTGAGAAAACCTTTTGATGCTGCCACTGGATGTGATGCTAACTTTACACAGGACCTTAATGGCAGAGATTGGGAGGATTGCCTAGCCAAAACAGCTATTGGCCATCCTGACTAGAGGGCTGTGGGAGCTATAGTCCAAAAAGTATACAGTGGTGCCTCACATAGCGAGGTTAATCCGTTCCGAATTAACCTTCGCTATGTTGAAGCATCGTTGAACGAGGCAGGGAATTCCATTGGAACGCATTAAACATGGTTTAATGCGTTCCAAATGGGCCGAATACTCACCGTTCAGCGATGCTTCTTAATGGCCGGCAGCCATTTTCGCGCCCTCCCCTCCCTTAATGAGGGCGCGAAAACGCTGCTTGCGGCCATTTTAGGCCATTTCCAGGCTTCCGGCGGTCATTTTGGCCGCCAAACAGCTGATTGTCGGGCTTCGTTTTGCGAAGATCGGTAAGTGAAACGCTTACCGGTCTTCACAAAGCGAATTTTGCCCTATTAAAAAAATGTTGAGCGATCGCATTAGCGATCCAAAAAAATGGATCGCTATGCGATTTTGTCGTTATACGGTGCGCTCGTTAAGCGAGGCACCACTGTATTTCCTAAACTCTGTCTATTGATAGAAGGGTCATGATTGTAGATTTCTTGTCCTGAAATCTCTGTAAAAAGCCTTAGCGTAGAAAATTGATCAAAATTTGTTGTTACAAGAGTCTTAAAAAGAGACAGGTGGAAATATATTTTTAATTGAGTTGGCAAATATAATGGAAAATAAGGGGGGAGAAAAGAAAAACAAGGTTAAAATTTTCTAGCACTTTAAAGGCTAACAAATTGGCTTCAGTATGAGCTTACATGGATCACAATCCGTTTCTTCAGACATAAATATGGTTTTGAGCCTTGAAAGCTCACACTAAAATAAATCTGTTTGTCTTGACATTGCCACAGTATTTTTCCTTTCACCTTCGTCTTTTCCCCCCGTAAATTTTGCAAATATGCTGAAACAGACTAATATGGCTGTTTCTTTGTAAAAATCTATTTTTAATAAGTTTTCTTGTACTTTTTATGGATTTGTCCTAGATTTTATTCCTGGTTGACCACTTACTTGTTTCTCCCAGAGCTTGGAAATTATTAGTTTGAAATTAGTTCATTTCTCCTAATTTTTCAAAAATGTCAAGAACAAATTCAAG